CAGCTAGGAGCCAAAGGGGCGGCTGTACCATCCACGCCTGAGCCGCTACGGACTGACATAGCAAACCCCAATCCACCACGAGAGCAGGAGACGCCAGGGTTACACCCTGGCCTTTGAGTAGGCCTGAGGAGGCTCATCTCCCAGGGTATCCTACAGGCCAGGAACCTGAGGTAGGCAGATTATGAATGGCGCATATGGCGCTCCACCTGGTGCATTGGGCCCTGGAAAGCGGCGAGCCTGGTGCCGTTTTAATGAGCATTCGGGAACAATGTCTGACAAGTGCCCCAGGCTTAGAGCAGCCCTTCCTCCTTTGAGCAGTCCCACTGGTATGAAGACAGGCTGCCCCCAGGAGTGAGGCGCAGGGCTGGGCTCGCTACGTGGGCGGCTTCTACAGGAGGGTCCCCCACTAACCACCTTGTTCCCCAGGAAAGACACCCAGGCTGTGCCCTTGGGATGTGAGGGGGGGGCACAGAGGCCTAGCGATGACCTGATCATCTAAAATGCTCTCAGCCAGGAGATCTGCCTCGGCGGCAGGCTGCGCAGGGGTGGAATGAGTCCCACCTCTCTGCTCCAAAGCACTTAGCCGGTTTCGTTCAGAGCAGCAGTTCTCAAAGCCCAGTCCCTCTGCCCTGGAGCTGCCCACAAATAACCCTGCCACACGATCTCTGAAATGCGCTAATCGCTGCGAAAGCATTAAAGAATCTGCACCTTGACCTGGCCTGGCTCTTCTTGTGTGGGAGCGGAGGGAACAACGGCAACCATTGACGCAGGACGGGTGTCTGAACTACGAGGCTTACTCCTGAGGCAGCTCGTAGCACCCTACCGCTTCCTGGGTGCGGCGCCACCCTGGGAAAAATTCACAGCATTGGGGCGTGGCTGTTCTACAGAGCACGTGTGCCACTGCTGCAGAAGACGCACGCAACCCCTCCGCGGCCTGGTGCCCGCAGTGCACAGCCTAGATTTGCCTGCACAGCTTGGAACGCTTGTGCCACTGCAGCTGAAGAAGTTCACAGCCTGTGGAGTAACTGCGCACTCGTACACCTGCTGCCCAGGAAGCCCCCAGGGTGATGTTCCAGTAGTCTTGTAGCGCCAGGTGTCCCTGTGGATGTGCTTAGGGCTATCCGCTAGGGCAGTGTTTCTTAAACTTTTTAAGACCGAAACACACAAAACAATTTTTTAGGAAAACAACGGATTTTTTTTGTTAAGCAAAAAAAAAAACACACAAAACAATTTTTTAGGACAACAACGGATTTTTTTGTTAAGCAAAAAAAAGAGAGGTTGGGGGGGGAGGGGGAGAAGTTGAGTTTAAAAAAAAAAAAAAAGTTGCCTGCCCCTTTAAGGGTGGCCATTTTGAATTCTGTTCTCCACAGCACACCTCCAACTGCCTCATGGTAAACCAGTGTCCCATGGTACACAATTTAAGAAACACTGCGCTAGGAGGTGTCTTTTCTGCGCACGACCAAACATCACGCAAATGCCGCAGGTTTTCCCTTACCTCTTGCTCATTGGAGGCTAGAGCAGAATGCGGCCTGTGTTCTTTGCAGCCTCGAATTCAGAATTACTCGTTTACGGTGATGCAAAGGGGGCGCTGGCATTGCTGCCTTTGGCCAGGCAGGCACCACGTGGGCATCATTCTGTTTGAATGTGCAAAGTGCTACACAGCTAGGCCTGGATGCACAAAGGGACTCGGGCACCTCCCTCCCTCTTTGAACCTGGGCCTGCAGGGTGGTGGATCACCCCCGCACTGACCACGCTCTTGCTGGGCCTGCTCCTAGGGGAGAGCGCGTCTAAACAGATGTGTGTGGCAGGCTCCCGCTAGCTGCAGCTGGGACTGCCCAACACCCAGATGGCACCCTTTGGGGAATTGGGCCCTCTTTATTTTTCAGCCTCACGCTGTCTCGGAGAAGCAGCCTCTGCTGTGTTCTGGAGAGCTTAGTGTGACACTGAGTCACTAGAGGTAAATAGCCTGCTTTCCCGCGGCAGAGGGGTGGTGCGGTACCGCGCAGACCACTGCGGGCGTGCCCCGATGTTGTGTTCCCTTGCTGACGCAGGGCCATGCGTGTCTCACGCTCAGTCTCCGGCGTCTAGGAAGGACACACCCGAGTGCTGTTTTATAGCTTTCAGTTTTGCCTGAATCCCTTTCACACCTTTCCTTGCAGCGTCCATTTTTTTTGGAGGGGGGGGGGTCACACAGCTAGCTGGGAGTAGAAGGGGAGCCTAGAGATTGTTTACTCATAGAATCATAGGGTTGGAAGAGACCCCAGGAGGTCATCTCCCCTGACCCTGCCACCCCGATGTCTGCATCACAGTCACAGGTGGAATTGAACCTGGAACCCCTGGAGCTTAGTACATGAGACTGCTGCCTAAGCTAAAAGCCAGCTGGCTCCTAGCTAAAGCTATAGAGCAGACTCCTTTCTCTGTGGGGCTATGTCTAGACTGCAGGCTTCTTTCGGAAAAAGCTTTTTGGAAGAGATCTTCCGCAAAAAACTTTTTCCAAAAGAAAACGTCCACACTGCCAAAGCACGTCAAAAGCAATTTGCTTTTTCGACAGATAGCGTCCATACAGTGTGGACGCTATCTCACATTTCAGCTGTGATTACTATAGATGGAGTGGCCACCGAGGCACCTGTGCTTTTTCCTCTTTTTCTGAAAGAGCTCCCTCTTCCCCGTCCACACACACCTTTCTCCGAAAGAGCTCTTCTGCAAAAAGGTTTCTCCCGTGTAGAATGAGGATTACCAATGTCAGAAAAACCCTTCTCTTTGTTTGTTTATTATTTTTTCCCCCTGAAAAAACATGATTGCAGCGTGGGAATAAGAGAAACTTTTTTCAGTAAAACTGTTGTTTTTCCAAAAAAAACTCTGCAGTGTAGCCATACCTCGTAAGTGGTCTAAGCATCATGAGATGGGGGAAGTGCACCACACCCAGACATGCATCTGACAAAGTGGGTCTTTGCCCTCGAAAGCTTATGCTCCAACACATCCGTTAGTCTATAAGGTGCCACAGGACTCCTTGTCACTTTTGCAGATCCAGACTAACGCGGCGACCCTTCTGATATTTCACTCCCAGACAGTTCCCCAAGGGCCACAGAGAGCCGCAAACCACAGCTGGGGAGAGCAGTCCAAGCAGGGTAGGCCTGTAGGGGGCAGTGTGGTTCCTGCAGTTGTGTTTAGGAGGGATTCTTTTCTCACCAGCAGGGAAGGTTTTGTGAGATGGGGAAGGGGGCAGCACAGGGTGACATGGGTATTAGTGCTCCCTGTGCGTGACAGGGTGCTAACAGTGCTATGCATGGGCTGAAACAAGAGCCTGGTAACACCACACACACTCTCTCTCTCTCTCTCTCTCTCTGGGGAGCAGGATTCGCAGCCCTCATGCACAGAGGTAGCCTCCGCAAGTGACTTCTTCATGCCCAGCTGGCTAGGACTGCCCTTCACAGAAGTGTTTTTTCTTTCTGTGAAATGTGACTTAATGATGAAAGTGAAAATGAGTTGCTGGGTTTTTATGGGGCTGGGGATTTCTGGAACGAAAATCCAATCTCCAAAATACTTCACTGAAAGTGTTTGGGGTTTGGATAAAAAACGGGTTTTTCCGAAACTGGGTTTTTTCCCAACCCCTGAGGCGTCTTACCAACCCATGACTTTCAACTTGGGAAGGTGTTTCTGAGTTCTGTTTCCTGTAAAATACTCTTGGAAATTTGTAAAAACCATCATGTGCGGGAAAACAATGTGTTGTGTGCACTGTGGTATGTGTGGTTGTGCACAGCAGATGTTTCTACCACTGTTGTCTTCAAGTCGTCCTTATCAAGTCTCAAGTCGAGTCTCAAGTCTTAATTTAAAAAATGTCAAGTCACTTTTGTACAAGCCATCAATATCAACAAATAACAATAATCACTATCTGTTTTCATTTATTGACATAAATCGTACTCGCTAACTACTTATAGTCCAGCTGAGAGGCAGAGCCGCAATCGCTGCTGTGGGCGGTTTGTTACTAACAACAGCAGCATTTTCAGACAATTTTTTCACCAAGTCGATTTAACAAAATTAGCAAGTCTCAAGTCACAAACAATGAACCAAGTCGAGTCTCAAGTCGAGTCACCTAGGCGACTTACGTCGGACTCGAGTTCAAGTTGTGGGACTCGAGCCAACAACTCTAGTTTCTACTGGTGATGGGTATTCTGCCAATCACCTGGGCAGCATTTGAATCCCTCCTGGGTGAATGCTCAAAAGTGGTTGGACTTTGTTTTTAAAAAAAAAAACCAACAACTTTCCCTTTATATTTGTCATCAGTTTTGTCTGTACCTCTGCCTGTTCGCGTACCTCCGGTTCCAAAGGAGGGAGGTGGCTGACTGTTCGGTTTGTAACTCTGGCGTGTGTAACTCGGAGTTCTACTGTACATTGGCAGCAGGTGTATTCGTACCTACGCAGCCACATTCAGCAAAGGCCTTTGAAAATCAGTGTACTGTGCTTGTGCCATGGAGGCAGTTTGCATTTGCCACCGAGAGAAGGTTTAGGAGCAACGGGCCTGTCTACGCACACCTGTTTTATATCTGTGCAACTCCAAGTGGTATTGTAGGGGAGTGAAAAAAGATTATTCATCCAAGAAGAGATTAGCAGAGACCTGTACCGGAGGGGCTACCATGGTTGCAAGAGTAGAGATGCAACCTAAGACTCTAATAGGCTACGTCTACACTAGCATGATTTTGCACAAGAACTCTTTTGCAAAAACGCTTCCAGAAGAGAGCGCCTTCACTGGCACGTGCCTTTGCACAAGAGCATCCATTCCAGTGTAGACACTGTCTTGCGCAAGAAAGCTCTGATGGCCATTTTAACCATCGGGCTTTCTTGCACAAGAAATTAATGTTGCCTGTCTACACTGGCCTCTTGCGCAAGAACAGTTGC